AACCTTGTGGCTTAACCGCATCAGAAATAGCTGGTCCTTGTTATGTTTTTTGTTTTCACTGCAGCAGTGTCAGAATTCACCTCTCTCCCGTAAGATGAAGTCTGATAAATGTGAGGAGTTAAATGGTGTTTGCTTGCTGTCGCATGGGAACAGCTTGTTGACCCTGATCCTTTCTGTTTTGCTGTGATCGGGGCTCTGCTGTGGTATGAGAAGTATGAACGCTAGTTCCCAGAGCCACAGGCACACGCAGTGGACTCGCTTCCATGGATTTCAATGGCAAACCAGGCAGCGCAAAGAGGTTTTCGGCTGATACCTTCATGAGAAAGCTGAGCGCCCAAATATCGCTGGAGACCTGGATTTTTGTGCACATCAGCCCCATCGTTGTCCTGCTGAGTGCTGTATGTTGTACAGTCTGCACCCTGTCAGATTGCAAGAAACATCTCTGTACTGGAGTACGCCAGATTCTCCCTGAAGTTTGTGTGTAATTTCACATGTAAATTAATGCACATTTGTATTTTGCTGAGCATCATGCATGCACGTACCCACTCACCACAGCTACACATATGCCCCTACCTTCTGAGCAGTACCCAAGCACTCTATGCCCGTGAGACAGCAAAAGCTGGCATAGCCTGTTGGTAGCAATCCACAGCCCCGTAGAAGTTGGATGGGGTATGTTGATGCTGACAATCACAGTTCACCCTCTCTGAAAATCGCCTGCGGCTGTTGTCGGCTGTTACGTCCTCTTCCCCGTCTGCGCTGTCACGTTGCCACAAGTCTGAAAACTTCCGAGCAGCCTCAGAGAGATGCTGGTGGGAGTTGGGTGGGCGACGGCACTGAGCAGCCGCCGGGGGTTCACAGCACCTGGCGTGGACCAGTCCTGCTCCCCGATGTGTGGAGGCACCGTCAGTGTCCATGCAGAGCCCACCCCTGCAACACCGCTGGAAGGAGTTACTGCCACCAGGTCCCGTTTGCTTACTTGGTCTTCTTTCCTTCCCCCCAGGAGACCGTCGGAGAGCCCTTCTTCCTCTTGATCTGTGCGATCAAACAGCAGATTAACAAAGGGTCCATCGATGCCATCACAGGGAAAGCCAGGTACACCCTCAATGAGGAGTGGCTTCTGAGGGAGAACATCGAGGCAAAGCCAAGGGTGAGTACCTACACCCCTGGGTCTGACAGACGCGTACCCTGTCAGACTGGTTGTGCAAGTGGCTGATTTGGTACCCATGCAGGTATGATAACCATGTAAATTATACACCTGCGTGGACACCGTGCTGCTGTCTAAGCACACGACCATAGAACAAGGCTCATAATGACTGTTTGTTTTCATGTCCGTCCCGTGGTGGATCAACTAAGTGCCTCAGATTAGGGGTGGAGGGAGGTAAGAAAATTTGTTCTGCCGTATTCAGAGGGTTAAAGCAACAGGTTTACTGTTCCCGGCAAAGGAGCATCTTCACTAGCAGCAAACCTGAGTCCTGGGGTGAGGGCTTTGCCCAGGGCGCTACAGGAGTGGTGCTGAAAACAGTTCTGCAAAAGGCCTCCTGTGGGAACAGGGCAGACGAGGGCTGTGCGTGTGAACGGCTCGGTTCCCTCGAGTGCCTGACACAGAATTCAGCAGATGCCTTTCCAGAGCCTGGGTCAAATCCTGCTTTCAATTACCTGGCATAAATCTGGAGTAGCTTCACTGAAGTCAGTGGGTTACCCCAGATGTGCATCACCATAACTCAGAGCAGGTTCGAGCTCCACATCCTCTGCAGATTCCTGTTACCAATTGACCTGTAAATTTACAGTGCAGAGTGAGAGGGGTTAGCAGCAGGGCGCAAAGTATTAGCTTTCTCGGCAGAAATGGTTACTTCATAAGTCTGAGCAAGGGAAGCGTGGTTGCTTCCTACTTTGTTTGGAAGAAGAGAAACAAAAGTGTACAGGATATGTTGGAGGAAGGAGAGCAATGCAGGGTTAGTGCTAACTCACTGGCAATTCCCCGCATTGCTGATAACTGAACCTCTGCTTTAAAAAACATCTGCATAGTATGCAATGCGAAAAACCATCTTCATTTAGTGCTACGGAGAAAACTGGACTTCATCTGTGCATTCACATTGTTCTCAGTCAAGGATGCTGACTCTGTATCCTGACACTTAAAAGCAGCATTTGCAAAGAAAAGGTCTCTGCGCATCAGGGGTAAGGCCCATTAGCAAGGCAGTGTGAGAGGAGGTTGCAATGTCGCTCCCTGTGTCCTCCTGGCTCCGTCAACAAACAGGGGCCTTCAGCCCCGGGGACTATAAATCAGTGCCTCTCATTAGCAGAAAAGTGTATATGACCGCATTTGTTCAGCCTGACTTCCAGCAGCATGGCGCCCAGAGCACACCAGCAAGAGCTGTGCGGGTGCCGCAGCCTCTCTGCATCCTCGGGAGCCAGCAGAACTGGGCAGGTCACCCCTAACTCGGTCTCTGCCCGCAGAACCTCAACGTCTCCTTCCAAGGCTGCGGGATGGACTCCCTGAGTGTCAGGGCCATGGACACAGACACACTCAGCCAAGTGAAGGAGAAGATTCTGGAGGCCTTCTGCAAGAACGTCCCCTACTCCCAGTGGCCAAGGGTGGAAGACGTCGACCTCGGTAAGGACCAGATGCATTGGACCAGCCAGTCCTTAAACCCAGACGAAGCACCTGGTGTTGCACGGCAGCTCTTGGTGTCTGTCAGAGGGCAGTGGGTGACAAGAGCACTGACAAGAGGGCAGATATCAGGCCTGAGAATGATCTTCAGGAATGAGCGATGGGACCAGGTACTGGTGGGCAGGAATAACTGGGCAATTAACGGGAAAGAAGCTTTAGGAAGGCCCAGGTGGAGCAGAGGGATGCTTGGATTTGCACCCTTTAAAGCCTGTAATCTTAACTCCAGAACAGGTACCCTCTGAAACACCCTTGAGCCTGCAGATAGCTTGTTAACAGATTCAGATCTGTCATTTGTCTACCCAGTGGCCAACTCCTCTCAAAATTTAAAAAGGATCCCAGCCCAATGCTGGTAAGAGAAGCCCACGCTGTCTGTGGTGCCTTCGTGCCATGCAGTGGGCCGTGGAGACGGACCCTGGCTGGCAGCAGTCGCAGGGCGTGATGTTCTGTGTAGCCAGTGCCAAAGGCAGTGTCCGCAGAAGAATGCCCTGGGCTGGAGCAGTGATGGGGCCCCGCTCCTCTCAGCTGGTGCACGTGGCATGTCCCCCGTTCACTGATACATGGCCAGCTCTGCCCTGCGGGGAGCTGCCACCAGCCTTCAGTGGCCATGTATGGGCCACGCAGCATCTCACCCACTCCACGAGGCAGGTCTCACACAGCCCCCAGGGGCGAGCATGGGAGAGGGGAAGGGGAGATGTACTCCTCCCTGTCTCGCAGAGCAGAGCCTTTGTCACCTCTCCCATCTGCATCCAGGTCTGCCCTAGTCTGGAAATCCCCACTCCAGGGCCTAACCTAAACATCTGCTCTGGTTTCACGCAGCCCTGGAGGCCTCGGCAGTGAGGCTGTGCAGCCCCTGAGTGCTGTGTGGCCGGTCTGTGGAGCCCCAGGAGTCCCAGGAGCCCCAGGCCCCGCTGCATGTGCCTCCTTCGGGCTGGTGTCTCACTTCTCCCTTCTCTGTGTTCAGAGTGGTTCGCCACCAGCACTGACAGCTACATCCTCCGGGACCTTGATGACACCTCGGTGGTGGAGGACGGCAGGAAGAAACTCAACACATTAGCACATTACAAGGTAAACCTGCCAGCACTGCAGGAAAGCTTTGCTTCCTTGGAGCCTGCCTGGCCTCAGGGGTGAGCTGCGGTTCCCCCTCCAAAAACAGGATTATCAGGAACAAGCAGGGAGGTTGCCATAGCTCCGTGAGAGCTTCCGGGGAATAGACATCTGCCCTGGCGAGAAGCTCGTTAATATTGCAACACACTGAAACTAATTAAACACTCTTCATGCAAAACAAGTTATTACTGACAACAGAAAGAGGAGGAAAAAAAATCTCCTATTCCCAACGGCCACCAGCTTGGCTGATTAGTATCACTCTGCTCTTGATCTGTTTTTAATCACTGGCACAATTGTCGTTGCCTGCCCTCAGAGCAGGGGCTGGGGATGCCATCGAGGAGCAGAGGCCAAAACTGTGGGGAAATGTGGCAAATCAAATTGTTTCCTTGACCATTTTTCCTCTTAAAATTAAATGAAACCAGAAATTCATATATGATTTCCATATTCCCTAGTATGCCTTGGAGCATAATCCTCACTGGTCTGTAACAGCGCATGGAAAATCAAAAACGGAGCAGAATACTTATTAATATTATTATTTGTGTAACAGCCATGCCGTGGAGCCCCACTGCTGGCATGGTGCCCCGCGACACCAAGAGCCGCAGCTCAGAGAGGTGGTACCTGCGCCCTGGGTCCAGGCTCCTTCTCCCCTTCCAGGGAAACTCAAAACAGCATCTGCACAGTGTAACACTTTCCTCTTAAAACCACCTGGTCTCAACATTCAAAAATGGATCCTGGATACATGTATTTGCCTGATTCCCGTCAGATTTGAGAACCTCACTATCTTGCATTTGGATTTAAAAAAATCCTTTCCATGTAGGGCAGTGCCGTTACTGCTGGTTTCCACACTGGGGAGCAGGGGCAGGGCAGGCGCAGAGGACATTTCTGGCAGAGCAGTGGTTGCACCAGTGTCCCCCAGCTCCCAGGATCTCCCCAGGGCCTTTCCTGGCTCCGTGCGAGGCACCATTAAGGCCCTGTCACTGATGTCTGCTCTTCCCTTCCTCTGCAGATCCCCGAAGGGGCGTCACTGGCCATGAGTTTGTCAGACAAGAAGGACACCACGCTGAGCAGAGGTAATGTCTCACCTCTCTTCCCCTGTTGCTGGTGACTGGGCAGAAACACTTCTGGTTTTAGAGGGGCGTCTCTGGCCAGGGATGCTGAGAGCCAGCTGCCAGCCCCCTTGCCCAGACCTTGGGGTGTGGTGTTGGCCTGTGCAGGGCTGGCGTTGGTGTTACCAGCACTCGTAGATCACCCCTTTGTAGTGGCACATTGGGCAGAGCTGGGCGTCGGTCGGGCCAGCTTTGTACCTGGAAGACACTGAGCATGGCCTGGGACTGCCGCCACCGGGTGAGCTGGCCTGCTGGCAGCCCGGGGCGTGCTGAGGAAGCCCTCCAGGTCCTGCAGGGTCTCCACTGCTCTCCTGCAAACCCCCTTAGACTGTGGCGTACGTTTGGGGCAGAGATAGCCATGGAGCGGAGGAGAAGTACCTCCCTCCTTCCTGCGGGGTTCCCCCTTGCTATGGCTGAGCGATGTGCCCATGCTCCCTGCGGGGACTGCAGGTCTGAGTCCTGCCATGCAGGCAGCGGCAGCGCAACCGTCCCAGGTGGGACCAATGGCGTGACAGACAGGCGGAGTGGAGACAGCGCTTTAATGACTGCCGTGCATGGTGGCATTGCCTGAACTGCAGCCAGCACCCAGGAGGAAGAGGAGTGTGGGCACCTGGAAGCTGAGTTTCTGCGGGGCGTGAGCAGAGCAGGCATGCCGGCCCGCAGGCGGCCGGGATTGTATTGGCCTCGGCACGAGGACATCCATGTCTGAATAGCCCTGTCCATCGCTGCCATCTCTGCACGGCTGCGGCAGGGCTGTGCACTGCCCCTTCCCCTCACGGCGAATGCTCCCCACGCAGCGCAGGCAAGGGAGCTCCAGCCAGACGGGGGGGGACGGGCAGCAGGTTGAAGCTGCAGTGGCCACTGGATAGGTTACAGGTCCCCGAGTGTAGGACTGATCCTGGAGAGCGGGCAGCTTCCACACTTCTAACTTTAAGGCTTGTCTATGTCACTTGCAAAAAAGTAGGGGTTTGTGCCCACTTTTCCTTCTGTAAGAGAAATGAAGGAGGTCTGGGAAGTATAGATTGCTGATACGCACACTGCAGGAGATGCAAGTGTCATGCTTGTGGGTTTGCTTTAAACATGTGTTATCCAGTGTCCTGCTTTCTCCACTTACTGGAGTGCCGAGTGCTTTCCCAGCCCTTAAGCTAGAGGCGTTTGCACCTTTCATCTCACATCCTCACTAGGGTTTTGCAGTCAATCTGTGCCAACAAAGTGAAAAAATCTAAACCCACTGGATTGGAAAAGTGCTTTCCCTCCCAGTTACACATATGCAGTTTCTTGCCAGTGTATTTTGAGGTTTCAGGTCATGTAGAGAATCAAAACAGACCAAGGAAGATGGAGTTTCACCCCGTCTCCAGGCTGCCCGCACCAAGCCTGTGTCTGCAGTGGGAGTGCTCCCTGCTGGAGGAGCTGCTCGGGCTGGGATGGCCCAGGGCGTGCGGGGCATCACGATGCAGGAGTGGCCCTGTGCTGATCCTGCTCTTGCACCCTCCTGGGTCCCTCATAAAACACCTCTTAGGAGTCCTCAAGTCCTCCTTCAAGTACTTCCTGAGGTACTCCCCACGCACCCCAGAAGGTGATAAACACCACCAACACAAAAACGCTGAGGTCGCTTGGGGTGGGAACACCAGCTCAGTGTTGGGGTTCTTGGGGAAAGCGAAACACCAGGCGGGTTTTCTGTTTGGGTCCCCTAACTGAGCTGTATGTCTCTCTCTTATGCTTCACAGTGAAGGATTTGGACACTGAAAAGTACTTCCACTTGGTAAGTACCACGCTCCTGGCTGCAGAGGCTGGTGGCTGCATGGTGGGGGGGGGCCAGGAGC